TCACCAGTTTTTTTGTTTTTTTTTTGGGGGGGGCCCTAGAAAAGGACAGACCCATGTAGAATCGGCGCAACAAAGTCCGCCGAGTAGCTGGCGAGAAAAACAAAAAAGCGTGGTGCTCATATTTGACCGAGGCGCCGCGTCCACCGCATTTGAGCCCTGGTTTCAAGCAGGTGTAAAGAGCGAAGTTGCGCGCGTCGAGCGGGGATCGAGCAGTTTTCAATCCATGCTCGCAAGCGCGCTGGGGCGTCAGGCCCTGTGTTTCGATCGGCACGACCAGTTGGTCACTTGCCCACGGGTCGAAACTTGAGTGTACCGGGGTCCAAGTCTATTTGGCGATGCGCATTTGAGCGGGAGGGAGATATGTTGTCTACTAGGTTTCCCAGTGCCCTTTTACCGTTTCTTTTTTGGGGGGAGGGTTCAAACCTACTAAAATAGACTACAGAGAAAGAATCGGGTTCCCTTAGCCTCTCAAATCTGGAAGACCCAGGTCTTCACGCGTTGGGCGCAAGTTAACTTCAGGCCCCTGGCCTATACAATGTACTAAAGATGGGTTCTCGAGGTTCGACTTGTGGGAATGTCAATGCGCCCTGTGGGGAGCTGAGTTTTTTGCCTCTGGTCAGTTAGTCACAGCTCGGATGAGAGGAATGACACAGAGACACTTTGCAAGACACAATGTCCCACGAAAAGGCTGTCGCCCACTGACCAGGACTCTGCATTGCTTTCGGACGAGTTTTCGATTGCCTTGGAGATGACTGTGGACTGCTTCGCCAAAGACTCGCAAAACTCCTCCAAAAGCTGTATGTTTTTTCGCAAGGAATGCCTGGGAGCCGCTTTGGAGGAACATTCAGTAGTAGATAGCACAGTTGAGTCTGCTATCGCCAAAATCAAACATTCCTCCAAAGCAGATCGATTGGTGAATAGAGGAAGCTGGCCGGGACCTTGAGCACTCTGACAATCTCCTCCCAAAGGTGTCGACCATGTTGAGAGGGTGTGTATGTGTGTGTGTGTGGTGTCGCTGTGATTGTTTCGATGTACGCAAAGCCGTGTGCTGGCAGAATTCATTCGCGTTGAGCTTCCTATGTTCTGTGAATTCAGCTTGACGCTGAGAAAGAATTTGCATCGGAGAGAAACAAGGCAGTGCTTCACGCTTTTCTGGGCCATGGCGTTGCACACAAGAGGGTGTTTTTTGGCGCCAGACCACCAAGAAGGCTTCGTCCAGTTGCCGGCTTTTTCGAGAAAGCCGTTCAGTGATCTTGCTACTTTTTGTTTTTATTTTTTCCCCCAACAGCTGAAAGCTTTGGGGTCTCAGCCCAGATAGGCTCCAGGGTGGTCCGGGGTGGCCGGATCGCGGCTGAGATCAACATTCGAGACCTGAAGCGAGTTCGAAGGCATCCCGAGCTTGGAGTTTACCCAAACCGGGGGGCGGGGGGGGGGGTTGCCCTGCGGGCGACTTGCTCCAAAACGGAGTGAGTCGCCCTTGCGAGTCGCCATGGGCTGTGCTGCTGCGAAACCTTCACGGCCTTCACCCGCGCCGTCTCCAGTGGGATGCAAGCTATTGGAGTTCAAGGTCAGAGGCGGGGGTCTCAGCGGTCCAGTTGAGGTAGGCTTTGAGTATCAAGAACTTCCAATTCCTGGATGTGATCAGAGCTTGAAGGCAAGGTTGTGCTCATGAGGACGAGTCTTGGGATGTTTTGGCATCATCTCAAGGCGCTTTGGGGATGTCGATATTTTTGAGGGCACCCTTTGTTCGGCTTAGCAAAGGGAAACGTACCCACGAATACCTCCCAAAGCAAAAGACGAGCCACCCGGGTACCTGCGACAGGCAGTAAACCCGGCCGAGAGTTCTCGGCGGAGATGTGTTTCGAACGTGGTGACCATCGAGGCCCGGGACCGAAGCGTCCAAAACCATCCCTTGGCGACTTTTCCTTTAATTCAGGGAATCCCACAACCGGCTCATTCCATTTCACATTCCCTACGGCCCGACCGATTTCGCAGCACCCTTTCCCTACCATCTTTTCTCGTGTCCTTTGATAAATGTTCGGGTTCATTGAACCACATTCCCTAGGTCCTCCAGATTTGAGAGGTTACAATAAGGGTACCCGATTCTTTTTCTTTAGTCTATTTTAGTAGGTTTGAACCCTCCCAACCAAGAAAGAAAGGGTGATAAAGTTGGCATTTTAGTAGGGGAACCCTCCCCAAAAAAGAAACGGTCAAAGCGCACCTGGCTGGGGGACCTAGCCTACCGATTTCGCACCTTTCTCGCGCGACAAGGTTGGGGGTCCTTCCAAGTCTCATTCTCTGCCGCACCAGCGAGTTTTATCTTGGTGGTTCCCAGCGAATCCTCCGTCTCCTTGGGTGGTTGTAGATGTTTCTAGTTGGTTTACTGGTAGTTTCCCACTTAAGCCATCAAAAGTTCTCGACTTTGAGCAGCGGATCTGGGAACAGCCCAGTTCTGAACAAGTTTTCAGTGCCCTCCGGGCTGTTTTTTGCATGTCAGTTCTTCTTTCTCCTGTGCGCCAGGTGGGTCCGTGCCAGCTCAGTTGGTGACGAAGCAGCGGTTGCCCACAGATTGGAAAATGCTTTCCTTCTATGCAACAAAAGTGGTATTCGAATATCATAACGATCAGGGCCCAGAGCACAACGTCCACGTTCACGATCCACAAGGTGCTGGAGTAAAATTCTTGGGTCAGAACATCTACCCTACTGCCAAGCCGCCCGGATGTGAACACAACTGGGGGCCCGAGCAACACACGTTCGGTGCCATACAACGTGGCCACCTTGCTTGGCGATCGAAATATGAGATGGACATTCCGACCCAAGATGCCTCTGCCTCTCATTTCTTGGAGTTCCAGGTGTATGGAAGTACGCCAGGAAGGCTTTTTTCGGCCTACCTGATGCTCCAAGATGAACGCGGTCAAACCTGGACAGTAAGCCTCCTGAAGGAAATCAGCCTACCGGTTAAGCCTGAAGTGTTCTGCTTCGATGTGTCACAAGTCGCTTTCACATACCACAATGATGAGGGGCCTGAGTTCAATATCCATGTTGACACAGCGCAGGGAGTGCGGCTGCTGAATGAGAACATTCTGGGAAGCGCAGTCTTGATTGGAAACAATTGGGGCCCAGAGAATGGTGACAATTTCAGATGGCGGGCGCTTCGGAACGACGGGACGTTTGCCTGGCGAGGCAAGTACGAAATGACCCCCAGGTCCACATTCAAAGTCATGGAGGCTGTCCAAATGCCTACATACTGGCAGGTCGATCATACAAGCCTCTCAAAGCGAGTGCAGGAGACTCCAGAAACCTGTGACGCCATACAAGAGTTGCTCAACAGGACATGGGAGTCCACCGTCACCAGAGACCGGCCCAAGGCAGAGGGCGCAGATCGCGCAGTCAAGGAGTTTCAGGTGGGGGGTCAAAATTCAACCGCAGGTTTTAGTCATTTCCATTTACCAAGCCATTTTGGGGTTACCATCTATTTTTGACCCACCAGGTGGTTCAGGTCTTGCGGAATGAAAACCCACTGCTGTGGACCCCATATTGCCGTGAACGCGAACGCGTTCGCAGGCGCTGCGAGGGCAAAGACTTGTCCGGGGAGCTGAAGACCGGTCTCTGCGATGCCTTCCGCCAAACTCCAGGACATGGCTGCGGTCAATACCGTTCAACGGGAGCCCATGTTCGGTGAACTCACCACCCATTTTGAATTCCCTATTTCCGGGGTTGGATTGAATCGAATGTTCAATGTCTGCCAAACTCCAGGCTATGCATCGCTTAAAGCGGAAGCTCGGGAAGTCTACTTGTTCCACGGCACCCGGCCCTCCGCCGCCAATGTGATCTGCAGCTCGGATTTTCGCCTGGACTTTGCGGGCTCTCACGCGGGGATGATGTACGGCAAGGGCCTCTACTTTGCGGAAGCCTCCAGCAAAGCAGATGAGTACGCCTCGGAAGATACGGATGGGATCTATCAGGGGCTCTTCTGCATGTTACTCTGCAGAGTGACTTTGGGAGATTGGATATATTGCGGGCGCCCCAGTTTTTGTCTTTTTGTGTGTTTTCCGAAGATGGGATCTCCCTTTTAAGCACAAGAGGGGTGTAAAGCTCCAAGGGTGTGGGGGGGGAGGTCGCGTGTTTGGAGCAAGGCGACGCAGTGAAGCCGGACGCGGAGGCTCTTGTGCGGGGGATACAGCAAGGTCTACACGACTCGATCCTGGGGGACCGCGAGAAAGCTCGGGGCACCTACCGGGAGTTCATCGTTTTTGACAACAACCAGGTGGCTCTGGTGGTCAAAACCGTTCAACGGGATCCCATTCTTGGCTGGTAGGTCAATTCACCACCCATTTTAGAACCTATTTTGGGATTGGGATGTTCACTGGGGGTACGAAATTTTGACCCATGGCCAGGTTTATCCGGAATACATCATCATCTACAAGCGCCTGGCTTCACGCGCACGTGTGATGGCAGAGGCAGCGGATGCTGAGGAGCCCACTTCGAACATCTGAAATGAATTCGAGGTAACTTACTGTCTATCTTGATGAGCTGCCAAAAAAGAATGCCCTCCCCCGACCCTCATACTCCGTTTAGCAGGTGCCCGTAAGCATTATCATCTCAACAGAAGTATACATATGAGTACCCGACAATATTATCGAATGACTGCGGTTGTATTCGGCGCGACATCACTTAGCTCACAATCTCTAAAACCTATCAAAACCCTGAAAACCGATGGGGGCCTACCCAAGACCGATGCCCCATAAGAAGAGTAAAGACTTGCAATGCTACATTGTTCGTCGCAAAAGCCTTTGTTGCTTGTGTAATTTGGTTGAAGTCATGGCAGAGCGCACCGTGGAAGAGCGCCTCAAGCTTGGGCTGGTAAATTTCGGTCGGGGCCTGTGAGAGATGATAGACAGATCTGGCAGACAGAAGTGATAGAGCCTGTGACAGACAGCTGTGATAGAGCTTTTTACACAGATGTCTGTGACAAGTAGCTCTGACAGAGCCCTTCACAGACAGCGCGCAGACTCAAGAGCGCGCGTCTCGCGCGGGAGTTTGTCGGAGGTTTGCCGACAATAGTTGCCAGGTGTGTGACAAGAGGCTCGTAGAAAGACATTGCGCACAGATTGCTCGTAGCTTGCGCGGCGCTCTGTGGCCGTTCAGCGCCGCCGGGGAATGTAAAATACAAGCAGAGAGACACCACTTAGACAACACAAGTTCGGGAAAGCGCCCCCGACCGATGCCCCCAACCGATGCCCTCCAGATGTGTGACCGATTCCCGTAGCGCCGTGTGACCGATGCAGCAGCTCGAGCTCTAGCTCGTTAAGCGCCTCCTGAAGGAAACGTCAGCGGCGTATTCTTCTGCCAGGGCTTGCTTCTACAAAGCTAGTTCCCCACCCTCAAAGTGTAAGCAGTTACACGCGTGTGGGTTGCAGATGTGTTTGAGGTAGCTGTTGGCACGAGCATGCGTTACGAAAGGTGCTCAGCGGCCTTTGGCCTCACACGGTTTTACGGAGCTAGCTGGTTGGGCACGAAACCAAAACACTTGCTGCATGTATCGAGGCCTCCCACCATCGCAGGGCAGCCTCCAAAGGCAAATTGCGGTTGGAGTTCACTGCGCTCCCAGACAAGCAGTCACGAACTCCCCAAAACCCGTACACAGGCCCGCAAGGCGTGCGTAGAAGAAAGCTGCAGTTTGCTGGTTTCGCTTCAGCTTCAAATTGCAGGAGCAGTGATGTGCTTTCAGTGTTTGCGGCTGACAGACGTGTACTTCGAACTCTTAAGTTATAGAACGCAGTGAAAAGTTTGAAAACCGATGGGGACCTGCCCAAATTTTGCGGTGACGTATTCGGGAGGTAAGTACTATTGTCCGACACTCATGTGTATATATATATATACGTATATAATATATGTATATATACATTGGCTTTTCTTGTGGAATCCTGCTGGATCGCTCAGGTGGCGCCAGACAGGATTTTCCTCTTACCCCTTCATCAGTGCAATGTCCCAGGCACAGCAGCTCGCAAGTTGACCGCGTGTCGATGTTGAAGGCCATCCGTTCCCCCTTCAAAAGGCCCATCAGACCCAAAAGGACCCTATTAACAAATATGTTCCATGATGCTGACTAATGGCAGGTCGTTGGTCACGCGCAGGGCAGTGATATCAAGGCTCCAGCTTGAGTCGCATTGGGCAACGAATCCCGCAAAAGACGTGAAAAGACGGAGTGGCCTTGGATTAGTTGGGTTACAACCTCGCTTCTTTTGTGTGACAATCACTGCTCCTTCGCGTGTTCAAGAATATTTCAGCTTGACAGTCAAGAATTCAAGCAAAGCCGCAAGGTCAAAGTCAAGACTGCTTGCCCCAAACACAACAACACCCGGGGGGGGGGGACTCCGATTTTTTTTTGGTCCGCCATGGATGAGCCCAAAGAAGAGGTCCGGGCCAGAGGCGGAGCTGAAATCTGTGACTTCCGTGTGGTTGGCAGCTAAACGTTTGTTTTTGTTTGTTTTGTGTTCAAGCACCGTGCAAACAAAGGCATCAACCACTTGTGCGCAGGGAGGGAGGGAGGGAGGGAAGGGAAGGGAGGGAGGGAAGGGAAGGGAGGGAGAGGGAGGGAGGGAGAGGGAGGGAGGGAGGGAGGGAGGGAGCAAGCCGGAAAGTGGCAAGTCGGGACCTTCGGCGACATTCGTGTTTTGGTCGCGCCCGAGGCCATGATCGGCGAGAATGACCCCCGAGTGAAGCCAGAGAGCCCAGTGCTCGCTGATTCCGGCCCCGGCCTTGCCGCTGGTTGGTTTGCTTTTGGTCAACCCCAGAGAGGGTCCTTGATCTCTTGGTTCGCTCCATCTAGGTGCCCTTTAAACCTTTTTTTGGAGAGGGTTCCCCTACTAAAATAGACTCAGCCTGCATCAGCAACCCCTAGCAATCCGGCCAGGAAGCTGCAAGAGAAGGCATGGGGCCTGCAGAGCGTGTGGGGATCTCAGTGGCCAGAGGAGCTTTGCCATTGCCTCCGCGGAATCTGCTCGACACCGGGTCCATGCGGTGAGACACGTGTCACATGAGAGTTGCACAACGCATGGTCAGTCCATGTCAGTCCTCAAGGACGAACCGACCTGGCAACAGGCTACCCGAGGACCCGAAGTGAGCCGGGCAGGTCTTGGATTCAAGTCATGCGACTTCCGGGACTTTGAACTCGGCGCAGGATGCAAAGAGACAAGCGTACCGGCTCACAACGCGCGCCATTTCCCTCTGCCCGGTGCTCGGATTCGGCGGAACCAAAGTAGATGCCGGCCTGGCTGCTTTGTACTGCTGGAGCGTTTGCAGATGCTTCATGTGGCTTCAAAGTGTGAACCGACACGTGTGAAGTCCCAGTTGGGACACTGGACATGTTCATGATCATGAGCCAACAGCTCCATTTTTTTGCAAGCCAAGGCACCAATGCGGAGTATGCCACGCGCTTAGTCCAAGGCAACACGCAACCTGGAAGCCCGAGAGATTTGACAGGGTTAGATTTCGGATAAGGCTGCGGGTCCAAACCAATGGTACCATTTTGGAATAGGTGCACCACCCATTGTAGTCTATTTTAGTGGGGATTGAATCGGATGTTCACTGGGGGTGCGGGCTTTTGACCCATGGCCCATGGCCATAAAACGACCAGTAGAACAAGTGATCAACACAATCGGAAGCCCGGATTAAATTGACCGGGTGCTTTGGGGATTCATCAAGGACTAGTGATTAAGATGTCTTTGGAACCCCAGAGTACACTGATCGTCGATCGTGCTTCTTGGGGCCCTCACCCCATGGGTTCTAGATGGGTGAAGCGTTGCTCCCCTTCGTGAGGTGGAAGTGGATGACTTCTTGAAGCGCGCGGCGGTCCTGCACAAAGAGATTGAGGCAAGCGGGGCATAGAGAGATCCCCGAAACGGCAGAGTCAAAGGCCATGGGGTTTCCAACTGTGGGCCAGAGCCTTGGTATCCCTTCCTCCCAGATTCCCTGTTCCAGATTCCCTGTTGAAATTGGCCAAAACAAGAAAGGTTACCCAGAAACGGGCATCTGGGTTTTGACCCGCGCCCAAATGGACCAAGACGAAAAACAGCGTGTTGGATGGGGGGCGGCATTCCCAGAAATGGATGCAGCCACTTCTGTACTTCCTGATTGGTTTAGGGATTGGAACCCATTCTTGTACAAATGGGAACAAGGTGTCCATCCATTTCGCGGGGCATCGATTTGGGGACTCGGTCAATTTCCCCACACAAACCTACGGGACTTGCTGACTAGGTCCCCCAGTAGCGCCCTTTTACCCTTTTTTTTGGGGGGGGAGGGTTCCCCTACTAAAATACGCCACACAAAAAAGTTGGTACCGGCTTATTCTAACCTCTCAAATCTGGAGGACCTAGCAAAGGTACCCTCGCATTTGTTTCACCGCGGCTGGCGTGCCATCTTTGGGGTTACCCGTTTTGACCCGTTAACCCCCGGCCTGGAGCCAGGGGTTCCTGGGTGTGTCTTCGTGTAGACCCGTTTTAAATCGGTGGTTTTCCTTTTAGTTTCCCAGAGGAAAAAAAGAAGAAAGAACAACATCAGCGGGTACCAACTCCAACAAAAAATCCGACTGCTTTTGTCCAACCACCAGCTTTAGCCAGGCCAGCCTGCGGTTCCATCTAGGTTTGAGCCAAAATCCGAGCCGATTTTGTCCAAAGAGTCCTGGGATCAGGACAAGAAGAAGGAGCTGCAAGAGCTAGAGGAGGCCGTGTCCGACATGGGATGCCGACACGCCCTTCTAGTTGCGCCCTTCTTTTCCAAAGAAGCCAAAAGCCGCTCTTGGACGTGAGAAGGTTGATAGCCAAAAGCCTAGCCCTCTCTAGCCCTCTCTTGGAGGACTTAGTGGCTTTTGGCAAAAGTAATTAGCAAGGACAAGAAGCAAAGGACTTGATATCTAGTTGGGGCTATTGGATGCGTGTCGAAAGGTTTCAGATGGCTTTTTTGGTAGAAGGCAGCCGCCACTTCGTTGGATTTGCCTGCAAAACGCCCACGTTTCGCAGACGTGGTTGACCAGCCCTTTCCCAGCCATCCGGTTCCATGGGTCGCCCACTAAGACTTAGTCACTTCTCGCTGGGGAGTTGAGGGGCAAAAGACCTTGAAAAAGTGGTGTGACCCACTCAAAAGATCTTGAACAAAATCCGGTTTAGTGGTAGGTTGCACTCAAAGAACTTAGACGTTTACACCCAGGTCTGAGGTGTTGCCCAGAATGAGACATGTCAACCACTTGAAGCCAGTCTGAGGCACATGCTCAGCCTCAGCCTCTCCTCTGTTTGCATGATATGATTTTATCGTTTCATCAAAACCGATTTGGGTAAGAGAAGGCTAGTAGCCTTTGTTTTTGCATGGGTATGGTTTGATAGGCCTTTCCACCACCAGTTGTCGGCCCCCCCAAAGAGGGCTTTTCTGGAAATGGTCCTTATTTTTCGAGCCCTATCAGCCCCCTAGAGACGTCCAATTCGTCGCTATTTGGGACCCCTATTGGGATTGAGGGGGTTGCTATCCGGGGGGGGGGCCTTGACAACAGGAAGTTGGTGTTCTTTCTTCTTCTTGTCTTCCACCCCATGAGGCGCAAAAAGTACCCAAGCATGCTTAGTACCCACGGAAGCTCGCGGCCGCGAGTCCATCAAGACCGACCTGAGCGGCAAGTGCTTCCGCGCCACCGGGAACGGAGGCGGAAGCGAGATGGATGGGACTTTCTTTACGCAGTCGCGCATTCGCATCGAAAGGAAAAGGCACTCCGTGGCTTTTTGTTGTCTTTGTTCTTTTGCGAAGGGAATCCGTGGAATCCGTGGCTGGGGGAACAACAAAAACAAACTGAAACTGGAGGTTTCAAGCGTGACCTCATGGGCCACTTCTCTGTAACCTTGCGCTGGCCCGATCCATGTTTCTCGGTCATAGAGAAGAAGACAAACAAGTGCAGCACCAGCTCGTGGTTACCGCCGAGCTGGGCGCCTGTCTTGGCGCATCGGGAAACTGATGCGCAACGTGGCACAGCGTGTTGCGAGTTCGGAAGGGCAGACTCCAGGGCGTGGCTGAGAACCAGCGAAAGCCGTGGATAAATACCCAGCACGCAAGGGTTGTCCATGAGAAACCTACGCGGTGCTCTTGTGTGAGCCATTATGGGTACAAATGGAAAGCTCACCCTTGGAGAGGGCAGGAAAGGTCCCTTTATTCTGGGGATCCCTGAATGCGGCTCTTGGAATTATGTTTTTTTTTTTTTTGCAGAAATGGGTGTAGTCAACATCTTGAGGATCCTTTCCTGCGGACTTGTGCGTCCAAGTTGAGTACAGATGGGAGCTGTTTCTTTCAACACGATGCAATCGAGTTGCGGGTGGTGCTCGGATGTCGCGCGGGTACGAACGCCAGGCTACGTCGTGGGGGCCAGAACCTCCTGACCGGGTCACCCACTGCTCGCGGATGCCTGGACTCAAGAGAAGGTCAGGGAGAGGTGAGCCCTGCGTTTCACCCAGCATCCTTCAGCAGCCTCTTTGTTTGGAATGCTGAGCTCCAGTCCCTGCTGATGAATTCCAGTTGTCTCAGAGGGTGATTCCCATTCTGTTCAACGTTCTCTTCCAAAACCAGCCTTTTTTTTCTGGGGTGTGTTGGCTGCTTTCCTGCAAAGAAGGATTGCTGGAAAGAATCGAAATGGAAGCTTCCCCCAGAAGTTTGTCTGGAGCTAGAAACAAGAATTCGATCGAGAGGCGCGGCAAAAGCCCACTCAGTCAGATGGCTGTGGGTCAAAGCCAATGGTGCCATTTGGGGGTAGGTGAATTCACCACCCATTTTAGAGCCTATTTTAGTGGGGATTGAATCGGATGTTCACAGGGGGTCAGGAGTTTGACCCATGGCCAGATTTGAGCTGAAACTCAAGCAGCTCTTATCGTCGCATCCTTTAGCTTGTCAGTGTGTGCATACGTGTGTACGGTCTGTCTCAAAGTGGTGGACCCACCAAAACGGGTGGTTTCCGTGTGGTTTCACTTTAAACCCACCCCAAACAGGGTCCCCTAAAAAAGCAGACATACAAGAATGCATACTCCATGGAAATATGGCCAATGTAGGTATATATACATCGTTAACTTGGGCAGAGCGTCAAGGCAGCTCCTTCTGCGTTTCCTATTCGGTTTGCATGCTTCATGGCTCCTTCCAGTCGCGTATCTCAGATTGCATCGACATGAGCCAGCGCCTGGAAATCATTTGGTTCGGCCCAATCGGTAGAGAATCGGTTCGGCCCCTCCGATTTGTCCGCTTCGCGTTGAACTCCCTTTGGTGGCTGCCGACGTTTTTTTTTTTTGAAAAACCATTATTTGGTGCTTGCAAAAAAAAAAAGAACACCCGTTGCCAAAGCATGCTGATGTTTCCGATCCATGATCGGTGTCCGGTTTCTGGGGCTCGGCGGCTCGGCTTGCTCCACACTTCTCAAGAGCGACATGGCACTTGAGAGCTTGGGTGAAGTCGCAAAGCACCTGAGGTTCCTTCGGGGGCTAAACCGACCCGACTTGGAGATTCCAACACCCAAGATAAACCACAAATGGATATATTTTTACTGGTTTCATAGATCTTGACTCTGATTTGACTTTAAAGATCATGGGCTTGACTCTGATTTCATGGATCTTCTCTTCAAACTCCATGCCAGCCCATGCTGTGAGCTCTTTTGGGATACTTCTGCGGTGTCATAGGCCAACACCACGGAATGGAGTGTCGTGTTTGAAGAAAGTTCGGTTAAGTTCGGTCCAGAGTCCACAGCCAGTCCAGAGTCCAGAGTCCACAGTCTGTTGGACTTCTTTTTTGAGTTTGTCCACAGTCTGTTGGACGTTGTTGTTGTTGTTGTTGTTGTTTTTTTAGGTGTTTGTCCCACCTCTTCACCCCTCTTTTTTTTCTTCCGGGCCCGGGCTCAAGCTGAAATGACCTGATCTGCGCCGTCTAACTATGACGGCCGTTGGGTCCAGAGATAGCCGGGCTGCCCAGAGTCCCAAAACCGCTTGGGCAAGGTGTGTGTGTGTGTGTGTCTGTGTCTGTGTCTGTGTCTGTGTCTGTGTCTGTGTCTGTGTCTGTGTCTGTGTCTGTGTCTGTGTCTGTGTGTCTGTGTGTCTGTGTGTCTGTGTGTCTGTGTGTCTGTGTGTCTGTGTGTCTGTGTGTGTGTGTGTTTTTTGGTTGTTCGTTGTTTTTCTTCCTGGGTCTTCGTCCTGGAAAAAACGTAGTCTCCGCCTTTGACTGGATATTCGGGAAATCGTAGCACTTTTTGGCGCAAAAACCTGAAACTCCTAGAACTCCTAAAAAAGCACTATTGCAATGCTCGCGGCCTTTAACAGGTGAAAAGAAGCTTTGCAGGGGTAAACGACTTAAAGCAGCCCGACAGTTTGTCAACACATGCAACGGCGGTCCAAAGTTGTGCGGTGCAGAAAAATCGTACCCATTTTGACCGCAAAACGCCCGTAAAATGTCCGCAAATCTCCCGCAAAATCCCGCAAATCTCCCGCAAATCAGAAAAAGTCGTAGTTTTGATGATCAAGGCATCCAATGGGGTTCACTGGCACGTTGGCAGGTGCTGCGAGGTGTATTTACTTTGTATGGCCAATGCACGACTGGAAACGACGCAATTCGTATGTGTCAAATTGTAGCTAAACCACTGGAATTCGGTAAATCGTACGGGTCTCCTAAAACACCCAGAAATTTTCCGGAGTTTGAAGGTCCAGGTTCATTTTTTTAATGGGGTGCCCAAAATGGCGCAACGGGGGTTCCTTTTGGTTTCCCTTTAAAATTCCTGGAAAAAAGGGTACCCTCCAAAAAGTACACCCCCAGATTCGGGGTTTGACATAGGCAGATGGAGCATCTGAGCGCTTTGTGCCCGCGAGGTCTCAGTGTAGAGACCTCCTCGGTGAAGGATGTGCCGTCGGTGGCCCAGTAGGGCATCTAGGTCCCCCAGTCTGTAGTGCCCTTTAACCGTTTCTTTTTGGGCAGAGGTTTCCCTACTAAAGTAGACCACAAAAAAAAGGTACCCTTATTCTAGCCTCTCTACTGGAGGACCTAGGAATCGATTGAGTCCTACAGCGGAACCTGTTGGGCTTCTCTGTTGACTGGCTGTTTGGTTTGGAAATGGAGTGCTTGGCATTTTTTGGCAGAAAGATCATTTACTTGGGCAAGGGCATGTGGTTAACTGCGCCAATTCAAACTAGGTCCCCCAGTAATTCATGCCTTTACCTTTTGTGGGCGGGTTCCCCTACTAAAATAGACTACAGAAAAAAGGGTACCCGTATTCTGACCTCTCTCGGGGGGACCTAGCAAAGCTGTTGGTGAGCCATCAGCTCGACAAGGCTCTTCAAGAGATTCCTGCTATACCATCCCGGGTGTTGATTTAGCCGTGTCAACACCAGGACCCTGTAGGGATGGTGTCGCAACCAAACCAACATGATTCCACTTGTGGGATACATGTCTCTCAAGGATGAAAAGAAGGGGCCCCTGATTCGCCATTCTTTTCCGGGCTTCTCGGGATTTCATGTTGAGCAACATGACTTTGGCTCACCGTTTCAGGAATCCGCCCTACCTTGACTATGAGCAGCTGGTACTCAACAGCAACAAGGAGGGCATGGATTTCCTAAGGAAGGGCCAGTACAAGCAAGGCCTGGCGAGGGATTGTCGTGCGCTCCTTGCCCCATCGTTTGTGCGTTGGTCGACAATGGAACCCTTGTCGTGCGCTGCACCTCTTGATGGGTTGTCAGAAGTGGGGACCCCCCAAAAAAAGGGGGGGCGGCTTGCCTTTTTGGTTTTGTTGTACTCCGGGTCATCAGAGTAAACCGGAATTGAAAACCGTCATGTTGCAAAAAGGAAACCAAATTCGGCTTGGCTCGGGAACAGCGAATTGTCCATTCGAATGGCCTCTTTGGCACTGGAAGAGTCATGGGGGTTGAACTTCTGGTGTGGGGTAGTCTTTAAGGGAAGCATCCAGGAAAAAACCACACACACACACACTTGACTGCTATTGGGTTGGATCTTTAGTTTTTAACTTTTTGGGAAATAAAGGTGTTTTCCGCAACCCCCAGAAAGTGAAACCTTTTGCCGGGGGGTCGTTGCAGCAACCAAGCCACCCTGCCTAGCACTGCCCCCGTGCAGCTTTTGAGCAGCTGAAGTACGCCGAAGCCGTGGTGGTCTCGAAACAGGGCAAGGACCGTCCACCTTCGGAGCGATGGGTCTGATGGAGGTCTTGTTCCTTCAAACCAGCCCCTTGGGCTGTAGGAACCATAGGTGTCCTTTTTGGTTGGTTTGCGTAACAAAAATAGAGGACCCTGGTTTAGATGGGGGTTATGCCCCATTTACCAGGGCCATCTATTTTTCCAAAAGGCCACCTATGTGTAGAACAGTTTCAAGACTTGAAATCCCGGGCCAAGAATTGCTTGGTGCTTAGCAGGGAATGACGGCCCTTGTGGTTTCCGTGAAGGGGACCCCTGATTCATTCCAATTCCCTATCGCGCCAGCAAGAGAGGACGAGCCTACCAACCTCATGTCCGTGACCTGCAACAATCTTGGCTGCTACTACAAGAAGGTGCCAGATAGATTGGGAATTGGACAGCGGCTGAGGGAAGAAGTGAGCAATGAAATCATTGGCGTCCTTGTTGTTCAGCTTAGTTGAGAAATAAAGGGTCCTGGCAGACATTGATGCAATCATCTACCGGGGCCATTGATTTGTCAAAAGGACACCTAGGAATGAAATGTGCAGTAGCTGATGTTGATGCGAGGGATGGGCGCTGTATGCTTGTTTGTCTCCTTTCAGGTGGGAAAGTTGCATGCCGCACTCAGCTACTTGCGCAAGGCTCTCAAGATTGAGGCGGGCATGGCAGAGTCGCTCCTGAGCAACCATGAGATACTCGTACACAAGCTTGTTTTTGCCCGAAAAAGATCAAGCCATTTTGCATTACATGTTCGACCATGTTTGAGTGAGTTTGTTTGTTGGGGGGGATGATGTGGGGCAAATATCAGAAGCCCAGAATGAGACGTGTGTATATTATATTATATTATATTTTATTATATTATATTTTATTATATTATATTATATTATATTATTATATTATATTATTGCGAACACACATATATATATATATATATGTATATATATGCAAACAATTTAAATATATATATATATATGCTGCTGCGTCTTTCGTCGAGGATACCCGTGTTTAGAGGAATACTACAAGGAATCCACGTGTTAGCGTTCCATATCCTACTTGGAGACAAGCATCTCTATGTATATATATATATACATACTTGTGTGGATATATATATATAGAGTTATTTATTTGTTTAATTTATGTATTTATGTATTTATTTATTTATTTATTTGTGTGTTTGTTTGTTTATTTGTTTATTTGTTGTCTTTTTGTTTATATATTATGTACATATACCACATATATATATATGTATATATATACATACCATATTTACATATATACGTATGTGTATATGTATATATATATATATATATATGTGTGTGTGTGATTTCCAAGCTTTCTAGGGTGATCAGCTTCCGGAACGTTCCGGAGGTGTCCTTGCAGACGGACGACGTCACGGTGGCTGGGACGCATTTGAACGTGTGCGCCATCCTGTCGAAGCTGGACAAGCACGACAAGGCCGGCTCCTGAAGGCTCCCAGTGAAACATCAGCTGCATCAGCTGGGCGCGCCTTCGAATCCGCTTGGCACTGACAGCCTAGGGGGAGGGAGTCGAAGTTCTGCGAAATGCATTTGTGTGATATGACTTAGTTCATTGAAATCGAGTTCATATGAAAGGTATTCTTAAAACACTTGCCAAACTAGGTCCTCCAGTAGAGAGGATAGAGTCTGGGTCGTGACTCTGGACTAAAGCTATGTGTGCAACCTTTGCCTGGCCATGTCGACTGGATGTCAGGTAGATTGCAGGGCTGTTAAACTTTGCAAAGGAGTAACTATGGGCGCGGCTCCTTTTTTCAGCGCCCTTTGTAGATGGCTTCAAAGGGCAACCAAAAGGAAGCCACCCATCTTGGGCCTCATCCAGTTTGCAACAAACCCGCATGCAGATGCTCCTCCCCCTCACCCCAGTCAGCGTGCTCAGCGTGACTGCGCGGTATTCGAGTTGATGATTGTTTTGTTGCTCTTGGCCGGCTTTTACATGCTCTTCGTGCCCCTTTCTGACAGCCAACTATTTGTTCTCCTCCACATATAGTCATCCTACGATCTGAAAAAATCTTCCGAAACATCTATTCACAAACCCATGGTCGAAATTTATTGCAAGTAAGGAAGACGAGAACCCCATACAGTTTGTTTTTTTATATTATTTTAAAGGGGGAATCAAAAAAGCAGGACCACGTGGCTGGGTTTCGCAGAGACGGTTGCACCCAGCCACCCGGAGGCGCTGCAACACGCGCTGTGCGCCTTGGAGCTGATTAGCAGCCGGGTGAATGCGGAGGGCACCACGCAGGACGCGGGGTCTGGCATCACGGTGATCCATTTGGTGAAGAATATGTTTTTGTATTTTGATTTGTTAATTTTCCCCTGTTGGCTTGAAAGGGAATCGATTTCACTACTGGATGTTTTTTTCAATTTTTCCCGGACTTCGGCAAATGGAGGTTTTGGGGCCAGGTGAAAGATGAACTTCCATAGGTGTCCTTTTTGGTTGATTTGGTTTACCTGGTGGTTCAATCAACTACCGGGACATCAATTTTCCCAAAAAGGACACCTATGTGAGCTTCTTGTTGCTGGAGGGTGATGAGGGTATGGCTCAGAATTCAACCACCAGGATATGGACAGCAGGTTTTGGTCCATGTTTCCAGTTACCAGGATTTTATGTTGGATACCTATTTTTTGACCCACAGCCGTACGAGGAAAACGTGGGGGAATATTTGGGACAAATGGTTCGTGCGCAGCTCCAAGTACCCGAGTTCTTCAACGACCCTCATTTGGTGTCCGAACGTTTTCCAGCGAAAAGTGAATCCGCTGTCCGGAATGGTGGGGCATTTCCTATATTCCGCACATATGAATCGGTCGAAGCTTTCCACTTTGAGTGTCATCCATTCTATTTCGCCACGCGCCAAAGATCTCTGGCCTTTACTCCTAGGCTCGAGTGTTCTGATTCGACAGTGCGGGCCTATGTGAAGTTTTGTGACCAGGTCACAGACGGAAATCAGGGCTTGATTAAAGTAAGCTAATGTCCGAAGTGTGAACACCAAGTGGGTCTGTCTTTTTTGAGGGTACTTGAGTTTGTGTGTTTTGTTCCTTCTTCTTTTTTCCGGGAAGCCACAAGGAACCCACCATTTTGACGGTCCCCAAAATCAGAAACCTTCAAGTAAAGAGGGAATCTCCTGACTCTGCTTTAGACGCTGTTGCCGTTGACTGGCTACGTCAGGTTATTGCAGGCTGTTTGTGCTGCATGGCTATTGGGAGTGGGATCGTTGAGCAAGTCAACACTGGCTGAAGCTGCATTGATTCCCAGAGCAACAATCAGAACCTGGATAGTCCCAACCATAAATGGTGCCCCCTGTTGATTCTTGAGATTCTGGGTAGATTATTTGAATTCCAGGTTCCGAGTATGACTCAGATGGTTTCAGGGTAGAGGGTCTCATTTGTTGCTCATCTCCAAATACAAGCACACCAACCAGGATCCACACTAGGGTATTCAACTCGCTGCCTGGCTGATAGTCGGTGAATCCAGCGTCACCAGAGCGAGATCGGCATTGAATTCTTGTTTGGCTTCCGAATGTCCAGGCGTATCATGGAGATATGTGGTGATACCGAGGGTTTGGTGTACAACCTCTACGTTTGGTCTTGCCCGAAAAACAACCTTCGAATGTTTCACTTCTAACTTGTAACCCCATCCTTTGGTTCCTGGCATCTGGAGCGCTGTGTTGAGCATCCCACGAGGGCCATGTTTTTTCTTCAACGTTGAGGTTCCAAGGGACGAAGGGAACACCTGAGGACACCTTCGCCTCAAAACGGGAAAAAAAGCCCCGCTGCCGGCCCAGGATTTTTTTTGTTGCCCATGATTATTATTTTTGTTTGGGGGGGTTAAACGTTTTTTGTGTTTTTTTTTAGGGGAGCACTGCTTGATCCTTGTCTGGGGCAATCTTACCAAAGAGCGGAAAACGCCCCGCTGATTCCCCGGGGATTAAATTCGCGTGCCCCGAAGGACGAGTACTCCGTGCTGGCCATCGCGTACCACAACGTGGCGGTGGAGCGGGATTACCTGCATCAGCTCCAGGAGGCTCTGCAAACGGAAAGACGCTTTCTTTTCTTCTTCTTTTTCCCCGTGGAGCCCAATCTGCTCACATGGAATCCCCAAAATGGCACCCTGGCAAATGGAAAGGACTAAAAAACCGCGTTTTTGTTTCTGGGGCCTAACTACATACTTGGCCATAGGTGTCCTTTTTGCTGGTTTTGCTCAAGAAATAGAACGCGATTCCTGGTTTACCTGGTGGTTCGATCATCCAGGGCCATCTATTTTCCAAAAAGGACTCCTATGTACTTGGCCATGAGTTTTATCAGGGAACTACCTCAAAAGTGATTGGTGGACATGAATCCCCACCCAAGTGATGTCCACCAACGGGCCCCTTACTAAAAATCACTGCCACTTTGCTGCTCTCCAAATGGAATCCCCAAGATACCCTGGCAAATGGAAAGGACTAAAAGCTTCCTCTTTTTTCTGGCTCTTTGATTTTGAGCCGCCCCCACTTTGCACTGTTGATCGAGGCCGTCCCGTTTCCTTTGGCAATGAGGATTCGCGCAAGAGCCATGGAAGTGCCGGGTTCGATTTTCACTCGGCAGCAGATCTAGCCCCAGGACTCTTGGCTGGCTTCTTTCAGATCAAGTTGGTGAGCTGAAGTATTGAAGTTATCTTGCTGGTGCGCAGCCCATTGTTTTGGAATGAACCGGAAGGAAACCATAGGATATGGTTTACAGAAATAATTCCATTTCTCATTCCCTGCCTATCGAACCAGCTGGTTATATGTGCAGATCACATTTGGGGCGAACCTGGACGATGGCAGCCCTCACATACCACCCAAAATGCCCAGAGAAAACATGATACACGATCAGTACATGGCAAATCGTCGGCTGGTTTGGTCACATCCGCACGCGGCACATGCCAAGCTTCGAGCCGTTTCGCTCTCGCCAGGCCGCTGCTGCCTATCAGCAGGGCCACCAGGTGGCCAAGAAGTGCCTAGGAGATCAGCACCCCTTGACGACCCTTGGCATGGGTACTGGCGGGGAGCCGCCATGCAAGTGGCTCATCTTGTTTTTTGGGGGGACCCCTCCGTTTCGCTTGGTTTTACAGGGAAATCAAAAGGACAACCATCATTTTGGGGATTCCCCTCAAAAAGGACAGACTCATTTATGTCGGATCCGCTGTTTGCTCTTTCTGGTGATCTTAGAGCGGCCTGAGCAGGGTCCAATTCCAGCTTTGATGCCTTTTTGGATGGTTTCTGCAAGCCAAAGCAAGTCAACAAGTTGAATGGGGTCCTTATTTTTGCGCAAATATGCCTGGAGAGTAAGGTTAAGAGCCGACCATGGGGTCCTATGGACTTTTTTCTTTGTCCGTTCCTGGCATACGGCAAGGGGAGTTTCCTGCGGGTGTGTGTGTGTGGGTTCTTATTCGCGCATTCATGAGGCAGACGCTGGCGAAGAACGCCAATGCTGCCACTGACTCAGCGAGAAGCGCTCACAGCCCCGCTTTTCCCCTCGCGCCACATTTGGGCTTTGGCGCGCGCACTTGTCGGAGCTTTGGGGAGCGCAACCCACAAAGAATAGAAAGCCAGTACAGGTGAACATGACACTCAGTTTTGGGACATGGCTGTGGGTCAAAACCAATTGTGCCATTTGGGGTAGGTGCACCACCCATTGTAGTCTGTTTTAGTGGGGATAGGGATGTTCGGATGTTCACTGGGGGTACGGGCTTTTGACCATTCTTGACTTATGGCCACATCACTGAACCGTCCTGAGTTCCGGCACTTTAAACCTTTTGGGAAGACCACTTCAGTGGCCAGCAAGAAGTTCCTTGGCTTTTGTTGGGGAAAATCTACTCGAGCGGAAGTGAGGAACAAGGTCCCACTTGCCCAGTGGCGCCCTGTGTTTCTTTCCTTTTCTTGGGAAGGAGTTTCCCTTGAAACTCAACCAACCAAAGAAACATCGGATGCCCCTTTGCTTTCCCATGAATATCCACTGAGCATCTGAGAGGTGATAGGGGTATGGGTCAAAATTAAACCGCCAGGGGGACCGCAGGTTTTAGTCCATGTGTCCATTCACCAGGGCAGGCCATTGTGGGTACCTATTTTGGACCCACAGCCGAACAAATCGCCGAAGTGACTCACAGAGTTGGGTGGAACCGGGGGCATCCCAGGCCGTGCAGAAGTGCCAGGCCAAGGCATGGCTACGAGATGGGATCCCTGAGTTCTGCTGGCGTGTAGAAATACCGTTTCGAGCTTCGAGGAATCAAACCGCTGGAGGTCTGGAGGTGTTCCCCAGCCCCAGATTGATCAGAGGGAAACTCTTCCGGCGACGTTACGACTCGCGCAGGCAGAGGCGGAGCGGGAGCGCGAGAGGCCTCGCCGTGAAGAGGCCCGGAAGCAGATGCCTTTGGAGTCGTTTTAGGGGTGGTCCAACCGAGGATTTGGTTTTTTGTTTTGCACCCTTGGAATACACCCACTGGGTATTGACCCCATTTAGGCACATGTCCAGATAAAAACCGTGTTATTTTCAACCATTCTGAATCATTTCCCAAGGGCGTAATCCTAGGGTGTAATACAACAACCCTCAGAGGGATGCCCTAAGGACAAAAGTCTAGAGAACCCTAGGCTTTTAACTCTCCACCCTTGTACCGCTTTTGCAAGTACCATCAGAACTAGAGTGGCGCTCCTTCTTCCCAGATCTGTGCACTTACATGTTTTCTTGGGAAAACGAGTGAAACTTCAGCTAGATGTAGGCTTGTCAACAGTCCGGGCCTCTTTTGGGACCCTCACGCTGGCCCGCCAATAGCAAAGCAAATCGTCGATACCCAAATTGGGTGCCAGGGAAATCGATGCCGATTGGTATATGGGGGTTGATCAACAGGTCCTTTGCATAGGATGACCATTCGGGAAAGCCACGAGAAAAAGATGATATGCCCCACATGGGGAAAGTTACCCAGGGTCAAAACCGGGGTCCCTTTAAATGGAAACTTGATCAACCCCACACCAACCATATTGGGATTGGGCGCCTTAAAAACAAGCACCGTCCGCAGGGCCGGCAGAAGACCGTGGCGCAGGCTCGGAGCCCTGAAAAAAGAAGAAGGCCATGGGTGGTGTCGGAATTTCTGCTTCGGACGGTCCATTTTTCTCAGAGCCACACTGAAAACTGTAGAAATGTCCAGTCGATGATTCTTCGATTTCCCCATAGATCTGGAGTTTGGATGTGTTGTTTTGTGGATTTCACCTTTTCTCCCCGCTGTAGGTTCTGTTCTTAGTACTGTTGTTGTACTCCTTTAAGACGACAACAGGGGTGGATCCACAGATTCGCCACATCCAGACCGTGTTCTAGAACATTCTGTGGTTGAAACACGAAGCTTTGTGGAAACCGGTCAACATGAGGGACAAGCCATGGAGCCAGGTTTGTACCAAGCCGTGGAGACCGCAGAGTTGTCAATGTTCCATGCCAGAGGGATGAATGCGGAGCATTGCGTCAGCATCCGCGTCCCGAAGCAAATCGCAGGAAGGTTGAAATTTGCGCAACCACGAAGGCAACACGCGTGCATTCCAAATTCGACTTCAATTATCATCCAGCACATTCCGGCGGTGTTGCGTCCGGGCAACAATACTAGGTCCCCCTGTAGAGCCCTTTTACCCTTTTTGGGGGGAGGGTTCCTCTTCCAAATAGACTACAGAAAAACGGGTACCCTTATTCTAACCTCTCTACTGGAGGACCTAGAATATGTGTGTGAAGCAAGACCCGAGCCGCTGCGGGTTTTTTTGTCCGCCAAGCCTGGAATTTTGGTTCAGCCCTCCACGCAAACCAGGTTTTGGCTTCGAACACACGTCCAGTTGCCGGAACCCCTCGTCTTTTTCCTGGCTTTTGGAGGTTGTGTTTTTGTCAGGTTGCCTCCCTGAAAATGTCCTGGGGGTCTTGGAGGTTCATTTTTTTTCCGGGGATCCCAGGCCCCGTCTCTGCCGGAGATCAGATCCAAGGGCCCCACGGACCGGCTCGAGGGATGGATCCGTCTGGGCGGAAAAAAACGGACTTCATCCCCTGGTTTGTCTCTTCTTGAGGATACTCGTTTTTTTTTTGAAATATATATATATATAAGCATTCTTGAGGCTCGTTTTTGTTGATGAAGCAAGTTGGTCTGGTAGCCTTATGAGTGAAAAAGGAGAACCCCAGGCACCTGAAAAGCTAAGGGAAAAATACGGCATTTTCCGGGCTCGTCTCTTTTTGAGGGTGAACTGCTTCCCAGCTTTTTTACTGAACGGAAAAGGACCCTCGCACTAAGGAGCCAACACCAACTGTATGGTTTCCCTTTAAACCAGCCACAAAACAGGTGCCGTGTGAAATAGGGGGCCAAAAGCAATTGGTCTAAATCCGCCCCAAACAGTGGTAGCCACGAAATAGGTGCCTCCCAAAGATTCTGGAGTTTCCTTCGAGTTCCCTTTAAGCCACCAAAGCGGTACCCACAAACCCCACGTGCAGTGTCGGCGGGGTAGGGTATCCGGGCGTCGGGTGCAACGAATGCTTTGTTTCAGAGCCCCCGCACAACTTTAAATACCTGACCAGTGCCTGAAACCTTAGTTTGACTGTTTCTGGGGACTCTCAAAGTCAGAGGATGGGGGGTTTTGGGCTAAAAGCTACCACTTAGGGGGTGACTTTGGGAAGACGCCTTCTCCTTGTCCCCTTCCAGACCATAGGCCAATAGGTCTGACTCGACGCAGGAGCCATCTCACCAAGAGACAGCTGAAGAGGCATGGCGCGGGTTAGCTCAACTTGTCGTTCGCGCCCCTGGGAAAATCTTAGACCCTGAAATATCCAAACATATAAATATATCCACCCATACACAGCAAATTCAAAGAAGTATTTAATTGCGGACATGACTTGTCATGGTCTCCACGGCGTGAGCAGCACCAGTGGTGCCTGGAATTGCGACCATAGATATTGAAAAGACATATAAAAAATATATCTTCAATTGCGGACACTAGATGTGAAAGATGTAGATGCACAACATTTTTCATGACACCTTGGGCCCAGGAACTCGGGCCCCGACTCGTCCCGACTCGTCCCCACTCCGCGCACTCCCCCCGACTGACCGCAGGTGAGCCGCGATCCCAGCTGGAACTGGAGCGCCGCGCCGAAAGGCCATCCCGAGTTCTCTGAGAATGCCACCAGTCCCACCAGCTCCAGCTGCATGTGTATATATATATATATATATAGCAACCCCCCCCCAAAAAAAAAAAACAGGTTTTGAACCTGGACAATTGCCAAAATCACTAGGGAAAATGCTACTTTTGAGAAACATGTGTATTTTCGCCTCTGCGAAACGCATATTTTTCAAGTTCAAGGCAAGTTCAATTAGTTAGTCAAACAACCAATCAGCAAGTCAGCTAATTAGTCAGTTAAATAGTTGTAATGAATGAGCTCTGAAGCCAGTTAGCTAGTTAATTGGCTAATCAGTTAGTTATCTATTTAGCTGCCTAGTTAGTTAGATAGTACTGAAGGTATTCCCCTAATATTCCCCTTCCCTTACTAGTGAAATATTTAGGGAACACTAGCTAGGGGTATACCAAGAGATACTAAAGGAATACTAGCGCAATACTAGGGGAATACTAGGGCAATACTAGGTACATACTCAGGGAATACGAGGGCAATATTAAAGGTGAATACTGGGATAATACGCCGGAGTACTGAGGGAATACTAGGGGTTACTCTCAAGCTCAATCTGTCTGACTTCTCTCAGGCTTCCTGACTAGGGCAATACTAAGGCACTACTAGGGAAGTACTAGGAAAATACTATAAGTGAATTCCGGAAGAATTCTGGGAGAATACTGAGAGAAAACTAGGGGTATACCAACAGAATACTTAAGGAATACCAGGGCAATACTCAAGGTATTCCCCTAGTAATTCCATCCCTTTACTAGGGGAAATAGCAAGGGAATACTATGGGGTAGTGAGGAATTACTCGGGGTATACCAAGAGACTACTAAATTAACTGAATACTAGTGCAATAATATGGGAATACTAGGGCAATCATAGGGCAGTACTAAGGAAATACTCAGGGAATACTAGGGCAATATTAAAGGTGAACACTAGGAGAATACTATGAAAATGCTGAGAGACTACTAGGGGTATACCAAGAGAATATTTAAGGAATACTAGGGCAATACTGAAGGCATTCCCCTAGTATTACCCTTGCCTTACTAGGAAATACTTGGGGGCACACCAAGAGAATACTAAAGGAATACCAGGGCAATACTAGGGAAATACTCAAGAAAGACTAGGGCAATATTAAAGGTGAACACAGGGAGAATACTAGGGGAATTCTGAGAGAATATTAGGGGTATACCAAGAGAATATTTAAGGAATACTAGGGCAATACTGAAGGTATTCCCCTAGTATTTCCCTTCCCTTACTAGGAAATACTCGGGGCATACCAAGAGAATACTAAAGGAAGACTAGGGCAATACTAGGGAAATACTGAAGGAAGACTGGGGGAATACTAAAGGAGCATACTAGGAGAATGCTAGGAGAATGCTGAGGAAATACGAGGCTCAATTTGTCTGGACAAGTCACCAGGGCAATACAAGAAAATTACTCAGAAAATACGAAAGCGTCGCATGCGTTCTTGAGGTCATCAAAGGTCATATCCTCAGGCTGCTTGGAACAAAGGGCAGAAGAGAAGAAAGGAAGCGCTGGAGCCAGACAGCTTCAAATATGGACTTGGTTCTGCTCAGATGCCAAGGAAACCTGGGAAAAAATTGGAAAAACTGAAGAAAAAAACTGAAAAACAAAGGATTCTGAGGGACATGAGGGCTGCCCCGCCCCCCCCCCCCCCGCAATGTCACCCTCCAAATCCTTGGTTTTCAGTTTTTCAGTTATTTCAGTTTTTTCAGTATTTTCAGTTTCCAAAGAGCTTCCTTGAAGAGATGCCCTTATGCAAGCATAGTGCTTGGTTGCAGTATGGGTTGGGTTTGGCAGATGAGAGGCTTTTGCAGTTGCGGAAAATGGCTTGAAACATGAGTGTTCTGGCAGATGCAGGTTTTTGTCAGAAAACACCGCAAATACCAGTGTTGTCAGACAAAACCTTGGTTTTTTTTTGGGGGGGGGACCATATACGTATATATATATATATATATGTATATATGTGCACAAGGCCCACGAAGAAACCAATGACATTTACGTAAAACAGTTTGTTGCAAGATGTGGACCGTTGTGTGTGTGTGTGCTACACATATATATATATATATATATATTGATAATATATATATATATATCTATCTCTTCCAAGGTGTGTAAACGCACTATTATTCAGTTGGACGGTGACCGTCCACGGTATGTTTCAATCCTCAAAAGATTTGGAGCACCCAGTCGCTTTGCACATGTCTTGCAAAAGGGATGGCAGATGTGTTGCAATGTGTCAACAAGCCATGGTGGTCCTTCAAGATCACAGGGTGATTTTATTTGAGCCAGTTGATCAGCTGAAGCATACTTCTCAAAAGGTGAACATGCCCTACATGCACGTGAAAAAAGAGGCGCCCCTTCAAAATCTCAATCTCCACCGCATAGGCTTCCGCTCTTTTTCCCACAGAGTCGGCCAGGCTCTGCTCCCGGCTTTTTGCCGCCACTTTCGCAGGGACCTGAAAGTGGCTGTGGCTTAGCCTGGACGCACGAACTTGGGGGCTGGACACTGAAATGCATCGAGAAAATCTGGAAGAGCTTGAATGTGGGTGTGGCTCAAACATCAGGAGCCAGGGCAAACCGCAGGTTTTAGTCTCTGCTTCGATTTACCAAGGGCCCATACTGGGTATCATTTTTTGAGCCACAGCCATGCGGCAAACAAGAGGGTTCTCGGGGTACGACTGATTTATGGCAAGAGTTGTCATAGTGGGGCTCAAGGAATAAACATCCTAAGCTTGACATGTTGAACTGCAGAATCGACATCACGGTTTTTCGTTAGTCATTTGATTGGCTTATAGGGTTTAGGGTTTGTACATGATGTGTATGCGGTAGCACCTGAAAGGATATATTGGAAGGGTTTGAACGTCGTGACATGCTGCAAGCATGCAACCTCCCAGCCATCCATTTCAGATGTGCAACAGGGCTAGCAGACATTCAATTCCCGGACAAGTGACAATTTGCAGCGACCGTCCGTCGGTAGACCTCAGCATCGGGTTTTGTCTGAGACTCAGCTCCAACTTCCAAAGTCTTAGCTCCCCCCCCTCCTTCCCATGTGCTCCGTACGCAAGCAGCGTGGCAGCTTAGGCACAGCACCTCACTGGTCTCGAAGCCCTTGCAGGCCTGGTGACACCGCCGCACGGATTGGTTTCAACTGGGTCCCCCAGCTAGGTGCCCTTTCTCACCGTTTCTATTTTGGTTGGGAGGGTTCAAACCTACTAAAATAGACTACAGAAAAGAAAATCGGGTACCCTTATTCTAACCTTTCTACTGGAGGTCCTGGTTTCCTTTCCACGAGAAGGTGAAAAATGATCGACACGAATTTGATGAGTTGAAGCCCTGGCGGTCATTTTTCGTGCCGTGAAAAGGAAACGGATGCCCTAAATATGGATCATTTCTGACAAGCTGCGCCAGCGAACTCTGGAGTGGCTCCTGTTGAACGAGGCACCTGGGTTGAGTTCACGTGTCAAAAGGGCATGCCTTGCGCTACCAACCGAAGGACGAACTCGGTGAGTTGGGTGTCAAAGAAATACGAATCCGGAATTTGGCATGTAAGTCAATGTAGGGGTTTGTAGCAACCTCACCCAGTTTCGGCATGAAGGGGACCACAAAGGGTACCAGAAAGGTTCAGAGGCTGTCTCTAATTGTTTAGGCCTTTTACTGCTGTTCAAAGGTGCAGCCCAAAGGAAGCCCATTGCAACTCGGGTGCCACCCTAAGCCCTCTTGCAGAAAACAAAAAAAGAGCACAGCTCTTCGGTTCTTGCCAGGCTGTGGTTCCAGAGACGGCCTGGATCCCAGGGAGGCAGAGAGTAAATACTTCATCGAGATCGCCTGAAGGCGATTTCCTGGTTGAAGTGCTGGTCGAAAGTCTCATCAGCAGACCAGTCGTTAAAATTGCGCATATGGCGAAGACTGTTTATGGTTGGAACCCCCTGAAAAAGCGGTTGGTGGACATAAACCCCCACCAATTGTTTTTGACGTCCACCAGTTCGGGTCCCAAAAATTGAAATTCACACCCATATTGGAAGAGCGTCATGCCCAAGCTAGAAGCGTCGAAGGTGGGTTCCAGCAGAACGTTTCTGAGGCGTCCACGCCGTCCTTTGTGGAGACCATGGGGCCTGAGGCGAGGCTCCGATCGATTTTGGACGTTATTGAATGGGTGTTTCGCTCAAAATGAAACGGGGGGGAGGGGCAAATCGCCCTCAAAGCCATTTATGGCCACCTATGGGGTGAATGTTGACCACCAAACCACCAATCATGACCAATCCAAACAACTAGAGGGAAGCTCAAACACCCTTCCTGTTAAATGGCTGTGGCTCAAAATGAAACGATCGGGGGGCAAACCGCAGGAATTTTGGTACCCATGTTTCCACTTAGGGCAACCCATTTTGGAATTCCGGTTTTTTGGGGGCAAACCGCCCTTAAAGCCATTTATGGCCACCTATGGGGTCAGCAATAACCAACCCTAAGAACCTATATGGGTGTGGGTAAAAATTAGTCACCAGGAAAAGCCGCAGGTTTTGGTGTTTATGTTTCCACTTAGGGCAACCCATTTTGGAATTCCGGTTTTTTGAGCCACAGCCGAATGTCAAGTGCAAACACAAGGCGCGCCATGCCATCCATTTGCTTAGGACCCCTTGCTCGTTTTAAAGGGAAGCTATCACTACTGGATTTTTATTTATTTTTTTCCAGGGGGCGTAAGCAAATGGAAGATGCGCGCTTGCACCAAGATGTTGGGTCTGTCTGCAAAGTGGGTGATGCCGATTCTCCTGGAAACAGGAAGCTACCAAAAGCAAGAAGGTCACCCAGAGGTTGCTCCTCGAACACTTGCTGGTGCTCAGGGAATGAACCAGGGTTTTGGGGATTCCCGAGTCAAAGGACCAAATCAAGAGTGGTCTTTCTTGGGGTCAGCCTCCCATTCTCCTTCCCTACTCGCACCAGCAAGAAGAACAACGACTCAGAGACTCACCATGGCCATCAAGCCGTCGGGACGGAGGTGCGAGCGACGCCGCCCAGCCCTCCACCGCTAGTGATGGAGCAACGGCCGCCACCAGAGGCCGGCGGAATGGAGAGACCTTCAGGGGAGCTCATGGGGTTACTTAACTTCCATTTGGTTAAGAGTATTTTAGATGTTCCCTTGTTGGTTTTAAAGGGAGTCGATTGCACTACTGGACATATTTGTTGTTTTTGTTCCAGAGGACGAAGTCGCAAATGGATCTTAATCTTGGTGGTCCCCAACCATCCCCTTAACCGCTTTGTTTTTAGGGTTTAGTGGAGTTTCCCCATTTCCACTCAAGCTTTTGGCAGGGGAGCAGAGGGCAGCCCGGTAATTAAGTGGTTGGGGAAGGGGTTGGGGAAGGGGTTGGGGAAAATACGTTCCCAGATCCATCTGGTTTTGTAGGAGACCAGGGGAAGCACCCTTTAAACACAAAAGGGAAAACAGCTGGTGACCTATGAGGGAAACTGGGATCCCTGCAAGGTTGGCATGAGTTTGCGTTCCAGTTCGCGTTGGGCCCATCAAAAGACATGGACCATTTGATGGCGCAAGCCTAAAAAGGACCAATCAAGGGACAAGTTTCGGCGCAATGTGGAATCATTGTCCAGAGCACTGGTGGTTACTTTGGGCGTGATCAAATTGGATTGGGTGGGGTGTCGGGTCAGAAATAATATTTTGCAGGCAATTCATTCCTTAAAAAAAGGCAATGAGTTTGTGTTGTTTGAATGAGGTCCCAAACCTCAAACAACCATGGTAACCCTTAACTGTGGTTCGGGATTTGAACCCCTGCTTCTTGTAGTTTGAACCCTGGGTTCTTGTAGAGGGTGGATGGGAAACCCTTGTTGACCACCAAACCACCAATCCAAGCCAACTAGAGGGAAGCTCAAACACCCTTCTTGTGAAATAAAGCCCAAGACTTACGCAGACGATTCGGCTGCACCTCGGTTTGGCCATAAACGAACTCGTGGATGCCAGGAGCGCCAGGAGGTTCATCCCGAGCGGGAGCCACGCAGCGTGGCGGAATGGTGGCAGTCGAGCGGGGCCACACGTTGTAACAAAAAAGTGAAATATACTGTATATATATATATACATATATATATATATTATAAAATATGTGTGATGCGTATTTAGAAATATATATATATATATATTATATATATATAGAATGATCATGCGCCAACAAATCGACTATTTGTGTGATATGTGTATGCACATAACTATGCATGTATGTTTCAATGAAACAGTACAGATATATCCCATGTGTTTTTTCCAAGAACCGCAAAGTACTGCAAGCGCCATCGAATTCCGGGTTGGGGGTAGGGGGGTGCTGTGGATTTGCGTTTTTTGGGGGGCTAAAGGGTCCACAAGCAACCCACCCATGTTGGCATTTGTATGAGTTGGAATTGTGGGGGGCCAAACTATGGGTGGACACGCATTTTGACGCAAATGATGTCCTCCAAAGTGTCTGCAATTGAACTTTTGCGCGAGTGTGTATTTATATCAAAGAAGGTAGGCTTAAAGAGGGTCCCGGCGCAAACGGTCGAAGAAACGAAGAGTGGAAGACTGGAAGGATCCGGGGATTGAGGAATCGAAGAACCGAAGAATGATTAAAGAATTGGAAGTGAGGAATTGAAGCATCCAGGAGCTGAAGAAACGAAGAATCAAAGCCGAAGAAGTGAGGAATTGGCGAATCGAAGAATACTCCAGGAATTCAACAATTGAGGCCCCTCCTTGTCAAGCCGGGTATACATATATACATATGTTTGTATGCATTTATAAATACATATATATATACTTTAGAGCCTCCGGCTCAGTCCGCCGACATTGTCCTCTCCCTTTTCTCCTTCTGCCTCTCTTCCTTGTCTCCCTTGTGTGTTCTGTCGTCCTCTCTCCCTCCCTCTGCTCCCATCCTCCCCATCCCCCCAAGCCTCTCTCTCCCCAATCTCCCTCTCTCGTATGTATGCATGCATGTACATATGTATGTATGTATGTATGTATGTATGTATGTATGTATGTATGTATGTATGTATGTATGTATGTATGTATGTATGTATGTATGTAATGTATGTATGTATGTATGTATGTATGTATGTATGTATGTATGTATGTATGTATGTATGTATGTATGTATGTATGTATGTATGTATGTATGTATGTATGTATGTATGTATGTATGTATGTATGTATGTATGTATGTATGTATGTATGTAATGTAATGTAATGTAATGTAATGTAATGTATGTATGTATGTATGTATGTATGTATGTATGTATGTATGTATGTATGTATGTATGTATGTATGTATGTATGTATGTATGTATGTATGTATGTATGTATGTATGTATGTATGTATGTATGTATGTATGTATGTATGTATGTATGTATGTATGTATGTATGTATGTATGTAATGTATGTATGTATGTATGTATGTATGTATGTATGTATGTATGTATGTATGTATGTATGTATGTATGTATGTATGTATGTATGTATGTATGTAATGTATGTATGTATGTGTATGTATGTATGTATGTATGTATGTATGTATGTATGTATGTATGTATGTATGTATGTATGTATGTATGTATGTATGTATGTATGTATGTATGTATGTATGTATGTATGTATGTATGTATGTATGTATGTATGTATGTATGTATGTATGTATGTATGTATGTATGTATGTATGTATGTATGTATGTATGTATGTATGTATGTATGTATGTATGTATGTAATGTATGTATGTATGTATGTATGTATGTATGTATGTATGTATGTATGTATGTATGTATGTATGTATGTATGTATGTATGTATGTATGTATGTATGTATGTATGTATGTATGTAATGTATGTATGTATGTATGTATGTATGTATGTATGTATGTATGTATGTATGTATGTATGTATGTAATGTATGTATGTATGTATGTATGTATGTATGTATGTATGTATGTATGTATGTATGTATGTATGTATGTATGTATGTATGTATGTATGTATGTATGTATGTATGTATGTATGTATGTATGTATGTATGTATGTATGTATGTATGTATGTATGTATGTATGTATGTATGTATGTATGTATGTATGTATGTATGTATGTATGTATGTATGTATGTATGTATGTATGTATGTATGTATGTATGTATGTATGTATGTATGTATGTATGTATGTATGTATGTATGTATGTATGTATGTAATGTATGTATGTATGTATGTATGTATGTAATGTATGTATGTATGTATGTATGTATGTATGTATGTATGTATGTATGTATGTATGTATGTATGTATGTATGTATGTAATGTATGTATGTAATGTAATGTAATGTAATGTAATGTAATGTAATGTAATGTAATGTAATGTAATGTAATGTATGTATGTATGTATGTATGTAATGTATGTATGTATGTATGTATGTATGTATGTATGTAATGTATGTATGCATGTATGTATGTAATGTATGTATGTATGTATGTATGTATGTATGTAATGTGTATGTATGTATGTATGTATGTATGTATGTATGTATGTATGTATGTATGTATGTATGTATGTATGTATGTATGTATGTATGTATGTATGTATGTATGTATGTATGTAATGTATGTATGTATGTATGTATGTATGTATGTATGTATGTATGTATGTATGTATGTATGTATGTGTATGTATGTATGTATGTATGTATGTATGTATGTATGTATGTATGTATGTATGTATGTATGTATGTATGTATGTATGTATGTATGTATGTATGTATGTATGTATGTATGTATGTATGTATGTATGTATGTATGTATGTATGTATGCATATGTATGTATGTATGTATGTATGTATGTATGTATGTATGTATGTATGTATGTATGTAATGTATGTATGTATGTATGTATGTATGTATGTATGTAATGTAATGTAATGTAATGTAATGTAATGTAATGTATGTAATGTAATGTATGTATGTATGTATGTATGTATGTATGTATGTATGTATGTATGTATGTATGTATGTAATGTATGTATGTATGTATGTATGTATGTATGTATGTATGTATGTATGTATGTATGTATGTATGTATGTATGTATGTATGTATGTATGTAATGTATGTACATGTATGTATGGTATGTATGTATGTATGTATGTATGTATGTAATGTATGTATGTATCATGTATGTATGTATGTATGCATGTATGTATGTATGTATGTATGTATGTATGTATGTATGTATGTATGTATGTATGTATGTATGTATGTAATGTATGTATGTATGTATGTATGTATGTATGTATGTATGTATGTATGTAATGTATGTAATGTAATGTATGTATGTATGTATGTATGTATGTATGTATGTATGTATGTATGTATGTATGTATGTATGTAATGTGTATGTAATGTATGTATGTATGTATGTATGTAATGTATGTATGTATGTATGTATGTATGTATGTAATGTATGTATGTATGTATGTATGTATGTATGTATGTAATGTAATGTATGTATGTATGTATGTAATGTATGTATGTAATGTATGTAATGTATGTATGTATGTAATGTATGTATGTAATGTATGTATGTATAGTATGTAAGTAAGTAAGTAAGTAAGTAAGTAAGTAAGTAAGTAAGTAAGTAAGTAAGTAAGTAAGTAAGTAAGTAAGTAAGTAAGTAATGTAATGCATGTAATGTATGTACGTATGTATGTATGTGTGCATGCATGCATGCATGCATGCATGCTTACATACATGCATGCATGTATGTATGTACGTAATGTATGTATGTATGTAATGTCATGTAATGTCATGTAATGTCATGTAATGTAATGTAATGTAATGTACTGTAATGTATGTATGTATGTATGTATGTATCCTTGCACTTCCCCTTTGCTCCCCAGTATTTCCCGCAAAAAAAACACGGTTTTTCCAGCGTTTTCGCAAAGAGGACGTCCAAAAACATTGAGTTTTTCCAGATTTTCGGCAAAAGGATGCAGGAAGCCCAAGCCAGCAAAAAAGCCGGCAGGGGGAATCGAGCCTGGGACCCCTGTTTTGCGACACCGGCTCCCCGAAGACTACGTTTAGTGGAACGTCATCAAATTGCCGCGCGGTACGTGGGGGACCCCCCCCCCCCCCAAAAAACCTACGTAATAGACGTCGGGCGGGGGGGGGTTAGGGGGGGGGTTATCCTCTATCCTCTAGTAAGTATCCGACACGCCGAGCAATGTCGGCGGATATACACATACATGCACATATATACAGCTATATATCAAATATATGCGAACGCGTTGTGGACAACACCGTTTCACGTTGGGTAGTGGCAATTTCAGGCATCCTTCAGGAAGATATTTAGATAACCATTCAAAGCATTTCCATGGGGGCCAAACTTTGCGAGGATGTTTGAACTGTCGCTGAGTGTTGGAGGATAGGTGCAGTGTTCAATTGTCTAAATGTTCTTGGGGTTGCAAAGAGTCCGCCACTTCTCAACTAGGGCCTGAATTGAAACAGGAAGAGAGCGGCTGGGAGATTGGAGCTTGGGGTCATGCAGGAAAGGTGTAGTGTCTATAGGTCCGCAGATCCGCAGCCAAGTCCTTTACTGTGTTGGGTGACTCTCATGCAAGCGCCAGCAGCAAGATTGTGGCCACAAATACCCATGTCGCAACTTCATTTGAAGATCGACCCCTGCTCATTGCAAGAACCTCTTGAAGAGACAGAGTAGGGGGTCCCTGGGTGTTTGACATGTGATTAAGCAAAGGTTCCCTGGTGGGTCAAACCAGGGACACGTGGGCTTAGTCGACAAAAGAAACATGTTGTGTGTTCAGCATTTGTCTACCCAAAAGGAACCCTGGATAATGGCAACAAGGACTGAAAAAAGGCAGAAATGGAGATAAGTTTCGACACATGTGGACTGAACAACCGGTCCATATCCTGGCTGAAAGTTTTCACCCACACCCATGTGTTATTTCTGGACGAATTTGGTGGTTTGGATTGGTGGTTCACCCTTAGTTTGTAGAGGGTAAATGGGTGTTTCCCCTCCTGAACCACCACACCGGGCGCAACCAATCGGAGGGAAGCTGAGATGTGTGGTTTCCGATCCGGCCTAGGGCGGCCACGCGGAGATGCGCCCAAGAGACCGAACAGGATGCGTCAAGGGCGGTGAAAATGTGCACCGAACGTGGCTTTTTTTTGGTGTGAGCCGTTTTGGGGATGACAACTTTTGCAGGGTGCCGGAGGGCGTCCTTTCCCAATTCTTGGGCTGTTTGAAGTGTTGGAAAACAATCAATGGATTCCACTGTTCCCTTTTATTCCAATCATGGTGCAATCCATCTATTTAGGATTTTGTTCCAAATACCTGGACAGAACCACCCCACCGCATATACGAGCCATAGGTTTTCCTGGCAAAACACAACTCCAACAGTGGGATGGGGCTTGCCACGAGATCACTGCAGTGCGGGTTTCTTTCTGTTTGAGATTTGTTGTTTAATTTGTTTCGCTTGGCTGTTCAAGCTATGTAGGTTGCAGCAGTGTTTTTTCACCTACTACTCAGTTGCCCAAAGCCGACCTTTTGACCTTTTGGTTTTTCCCATGGTCTAGGTTTACTCCCCCCAAAAGGTGACCGCACCTGGGAGGTACCTGGAAGATTCATTTCCTTCAGGGAGCTGTCAGCCATGTTACTTGGGAGGGTAGCCTTTCGATTTCTGCCCAAAGAAACACCTGAGACATCCCAGCTGGACTGGCAGGACCCGTCCGCCAGCTGCTCCGGTGGAACGGGATGACGCGGCCAGATGCTGAGCTCAGGTTGCTTTTTGGCCGTCCGGTTGTTGGTTTGTTTGTTTTTTTAAGGGACACCGCCAAGGATTGCAGGACAACCACCTCTTTTTTTTGGTGGGGGTGGGGTCCCTTAAAAAAATATTCCCATGTTTCTTGTGGGGGAAGGTGGGTCATGATTCCAATAGTTTCCTTTCCGTGCGGAGGACCCCGGTTCTCGCGGGTGTTTTCGTTTGAACTCCCCGAATGGCCAGGGGCTCGTGCCGGCAGCGCAGCAGTCCCAGCTGCTTCGGAAGCACGGAGCCCCAATCGAGTCGATGGTCGCGCTTCGCGCGATGGAGCGCTGCCAAAACGGGTGTGGCGCCAAATTAAAGAGCTAGGGTCACGCAGGTCTTAGTCTTTGGTTCCATAAGGGTCCTGCCAATGCAGACCCGGACCCTCCAATGGAGCCAGTGGGATGTTATTTGAGCCACTGGCTCAAGACCAATTCGGGTAGATGAAGGTTGGTGTGGGATAGTCCCCTTGCATGGGCGGATATTTGCCTTAGTTCTTTACATGGTTCTGAATAGACCATGTTAATACCAGGTTTTGATTGCAACTCATTTGGGGGAAGTTCTCAAAATTGGCGCCCCCCATGCGTTTCCTTTTGGCTTCCCCTTTCAGCAATCGAACAATTGGGGGGCTCTGACTTGCCCAGGACCCTTTGTGACATGTTGTTTGGAAGTCCAGCTGCCACGAACCCTTTCCTTTTTCCTTAGAAAACTCCCATTCGAGGGCTCGCCTTGCGTACAAGCCAGCCGCTTGAACCCCGCTTTTTGTAGGAAAGAGTCAGAGCCAGCGAAGATCGAGATGTTCAGAACTTCGGCAGTGCCTCTGCTTTGGTTTCTACGCAGCAACCCCCGACCGCGGGACGCACGCCCGAGGAGTGCCGCGGAAAAGATCCAGCACTACTGGAGGGAGCATCACAGGCCACCGAACGACTGCCAAGAATCGGAAAATCGGACGCCCGACCAAAACGACGTGACGTTTTTCCTTGTGTTTCCCTTTTAGCCTGAGAATGATTCCCCTCGAAAAACCTGACACAACCAACTTGGACTGTGGTGCTAGTCAAGTTGCTATAAGTTGCTAAGATATTTGGCCGTGGGTCAAAGAACCGGAATTCCAAAAAGGCTTGCCCTAAGAGGACACATGGACCAAAATTCCTGCGGTGTGCCCCTCCGCTCGTTTCATTTTGAGCCACACCCATTTGACCATGCCCCCTTAGAATCAAGGAGTCACCGCATGCAGCACTGGAAGGCGGCGCCTCTTGCATCTCACCCTTTTGCTTTGGAGCCCCGAGTTTGCCCTTTCGGGCCAGCCTGGAAATTCGGAAACTCGCGTCTTCCGGTCCAAAGTGTCAAAAAGAAAAGAAAAACAACATAGCAATAATAAAATAAATATGTAAAACAACTCGCCTCGTTTTGTTGGACAAAACTTTCATGAGTGCCAGGCACAAGGCGCAGAACCGGGACCAAGCGAAGTTGGAGCACAAGGCAGCCATCAAGCCGCAGCCCCTGATCCGGGTCTCAAAAAACCTCACCCGGCCCATTGGGCGAGTATTGATTTGATGATTTTGCGGGGGTTCTTATGGTTGAGTGCTCCCCTAGAATCCTAAAATATTCCCTTGGCTGTTTTTTGCCCCATACCAGGAGAAACACGCATGTGTGCTTGTTTTTTTCTTAAACAGAGTCCATTCCAAGCATGTACTTCCGAATTGGTGGCTTGGTGGTTTGATTTTCTAGAGTCCAGCGAGGGCAACACCTTGCCCCAGCACCACTTGAGGGAAAGCTGATCTAGGAGTTGGCCCACCCCATGCGTCTCACTCCAGTTGCTTGGGTTTGGTTGGTCTCCGCTATGAACTTCTTGACATCCAACAAAAGGGCGGGTCTGTTTTGAGCCGGGCAACTTTGTGAAAAACTCGGTTCTCTTCGCCTTTTTTTTTCCCGGCCAAAGGCTGCAAGCCATCTGGCGTGCCTTTGCGGTGAGGGGCCCAGTACCTCCGGTGGACGGACAAAAACGCGGTGGCACGTCTCTGTTTTGGGCATGTGGAGTGCCTGAGAATGCTCACTCCCTGAGTTGATGGACTTAAACCTTTTTGGGATGACCATTTTAGTCGCAAACAAAGTTTGGACTTTTGTGGCCAGTCCACTCTGGAAGTGGGTAGGAGACCTAAACCCAAAATGCTGGTTTCCTGAAGATCTATAATTCCTATGGGGTCTTCTTGGGAACTCCCTTCCGAAAGGCGCGGGTCTGGTGAGGCACGAGAGGGTTTTCTTCTACGGGAGACGCAGTCGCAGGCAAAGGGAAGCCACACAATTGGAACATTTTATTGAGACTCGGTGCAAGCTGAAGAGGCAAGAAACAAACACTGTCGCTGGTCGTCTGCATTAAAAAAGGATGAGAAGTGGGTGTCTAGGCTCCAAATTTCCAACGCACGCAGGCCGCTACCCCTGATTTTCCTCTTTTGGAACAAATGTCCAGTGATTCGTCTGAATAAGGGAGTCTTTGCAGAGATCCTGGATGATGTGGGAAAAAAAGCCGTGTGGAAGTGAAATGCTCGCCTTAGATCTCCAGGTCCGACGCCGGAAGAACGTCAAGGCCATTTATTCGCCATGCAGAAGTGTCAGCAACAGTTGGGGCCCGGGTGCTGCAGTCCCAAGCAAATGCCACACTGAAGCAAGTCTGCCTACCGTCTTAAAAATCGATCGCCACGCGAAGGGAATCACGCAATCTATTGGGAACATCCCCTTATATTGCTTTTATATTGCATTGAAACGTCACACAACCTTTTTTGGGAACCTCCCCCAATTGTCAATTATATTGCGATGAAAAGTCATGCAGAGTCTTTTCTGCATGTGAGGCAGGCTCGAGACTCTTTGTGAGTTAGGCGCATCAGTCAGCGCGGCGTCGCAATCCGTTCGCCAGCCGTTCGCCAGCCGTTCGCCAGGCCACGGTGGCCATCCAGCGGCACCTGCGAGGCTTCTTGGTGCGGATCGCTCTGCGCCGGCACAAGGCGGCGGTGATCATCCAGGCGCTTTCGAGTGATCCGATTTCGAATCCGTTCGAATCGATGCTCGAGTAACTTCCAGGAACCCACAAGTTTTGACTGGTTTGGTTTCTGGTTTGGTTTCTGGTTTGGTGTCTGGTTGCTTCGAATCCGTTCGAATCTGATTCTCGCCGTTTCGAGCCAGCGGGATTTTTTTTTTTTTTTCGGCAGATCCGATGCGACCGGTACTTATTTTCCGCGAGCTCACTGGTTTGACGGGTTTGGATCGCCTGCGATCTCTTTTTTCCATCCACTTTACCCCCAGAAGAACCTTTAAAAAAACAGCAACTTGGCTATCCAGGTGGTTGGTTTCTAGCTGGTTGAAAGGGAGTTCTGGTCACGGGGCGCTCCAGTCATTTGTGTTGTGTAAAGCTGTGAACCTAGGCGAAGATATGGTCCAGGATGCTTTTGCAGTCCATGAGCTTGTATAGACTCGTCTGAAAAAACCTGCATGGGTCCAAGTAGGGTGAAAGGACTGCTCTTTTTGATACTGATTTGGTTGCTGACTTCCTTGTCACCGGGTGACATTGACTTCGTACAGCCAGGCCCTAGCACCTTTGAAATGGAAAAAAAACCTAGTAGATTCAAGATTCGGGAGCGATCTCAAACTAGACTCCCTGTGCATGATTCTTTTTGTTCTCCTTCCACCAAAGAAACCAGGTTTCGGACCCATCCCCAAAGTCAACATTCGGACCCTCCCGCCTCAAATCTGAAGAATGTTAATCGTGCTAAATGAAAAGTGTTTTTCACCTCCCGCCCCCAAATCTTAATTGTGTTAAACATATCGGGCTTGATCAAAAGGTCCTTTACCTATTGATCATGGGATGGCCAATGGGGAAAACCACCAAAACGATGAGATTTCCCACATGGGAAAGAATCCGCATGGTCAAAACTGGGGCCGAACGGGACATTGATCAACCCCGATGTGTCGAAAATGGTTTGTTTGATGTGCTTCTGTTTGCAAATTTTGCTACACGCCCCACTCCCAGAGCCTCTAACGTTGCCCCCGGATGAGTAAACCCTGGTTGATTTTTCATAGGGGGGTGTCCCGATCCTTTTGGTGGGGATTCAGACCACTTTTGGAGGGAACACCCCCAAATTTGGGACGATTGTGTTCATCATGGCTTGCCATTGTGTTAAGCATGGGAAAGACTCCCTATCTCATGTTTGCCATTTTTGCTACCCCCCCGCGCCCCCCCCCCCCCCCCCAAACCTCCAACCCTCGCCAGCGCCACGGCATGGGCTTCCTCACGCGGAAGAACCTGAAGCAAGCGGTGGAAGCCGCGGTGGGGCCCCCCAGATCTGTCGGAACAATATGCGGGCGGTGTCGTGAAACCAAAAAGGTGCACCTTGAAATGGCACCTGGACTTTTCTGAGCTTGCTTAACTTGTTTGGGACATGATGTGTGTCGCAACTTGTGGAAAATGGGGAGACCTGTCCAACCAGACTTGAGGGTCTTTTTAAATGCATAGCCATAGTTGGACGGTGTTTGCTGTTGCTTTTTTGTTGGTTGGATGATGACTTTGAGGTTGAGTGGGTGGTTTTGAGTTGGCGATTTGCCCAAGAGAGCAAACACGCCCGATATGAGTTATCTTTTGTGCGGGGCAAGACATGAATGGCGGAAGTTGGGTTCTGCGGCAACGTCTCAAGTGTGTCCACTCCCTGGAACAGAAGTGGAGCCAACCGAGTTCTGTGCGACGTCCCATGCGGACGCCGAGAAAAAAAACACAAAAAACACTCTCTCAGAGTCTTCGGGGAGCTAAA